CAAGGAAGATAGGAGGAGGGCCAATGAAAGGGCTCGGGATTATCGTTGGAGCGAGGGACAGTTGGAAAAACGGAAAACGGATGGTAGTGGGATTTGGATGGTAGTACCACATCCGTTCATGAGGTATGACTGGGTGAAGACAGCGCATGAGGAAACGACGGTCCACTTTGCCGTACGGATCACGGAGGCGGCAATCCACAAAAACGAATGGTATTGGTCCAATATTCGTGACGAAGTGAAATTCATCATCGCGAACTGTCAAGTGTGCGTTGCTGACAAGGCTCTGATTCAACCGCCAAGATCGATGGTACCGACGATAGTTGAACGGCCTTTTCAAAGCATTAGCATGGATACTACTGATATTGTGGTGCCCCCAAGACCCAATAGCTCCGAATATTCAATCCTGTTGGTATATGTGGACCACTTTTCGAAATGGATCGAGGCGTATCCTGTCGAACGTGACAGGCGCCCGAGATTGCGCGATACGTCAACCGGTTTTTGTGGATGCACCAGGACACGGAGGAAATCCTGACCGATAATGGGGTTGAATTCAGAGGGGAAGTTTTAAGGAATCTGGTTGTACACGGCGTCGCTATTTGGAACACCGCCCCCCTCATGTCACAGTATAACGCGCTGGTGGAAAACGCAAATAGGGTGATAAAGACTGCATTACGACGAAATATCGCGGCACGGGACCCCAGGCCCTCGCCCGATATCGTAGATCACATCCAGGCGGTTCATCGGGGAACGTCCCACGAATCGACGGGCCTTAGCCCGTTGAAATTAAGAACTAATAGCGTAGCTTGTGTCTCGATACCGAGCCTCCCCAATGAGTTTTCGTTGAACCGGCGGCCCACGAGGGTCACGGTTCGAGACTAGGCCAAGCGACACGTTGAACTGATGGAAAGGTCCCTGCCGCGACTAGGCCGAAAGCACCAGAAAATGACCGCGTTGGCCCACGGATGACAGTTTCGTAGTTACAAGGCTCAGAACGGGAACGCGGGTCCGCGGCCCTAGTATAAAGAAGGGGACCTAGTGCAGGTGAGGAAATGTGCTTGCCAAGGGAAGATAGCGCCATGATTCTTCAGGCGATTTCGTGTGATCGAGCTTGGCCCGAGCGGAGTGAACACCGTGCGCCTCGTGCCGGAAATCTCGGAAAGCTGATCGGCTTGACCGATCGTCCGCCACGTGTCCTATCTGCGTCCCCTCCCCGCCTCTCCCTCTTTACCTTCGTCTGTCTTCTCCTCTGCTGCGGAAGAAGACGACGACTGTTTATCACCCGCTTCTCCTCCCCCGTCTCACTCTCCCTCCGATACTCCGCCTCCATCATCTTTGCCATGAGTTTTCTCACCGAACGAGTTCTCGACGAGCACCTGCTGGCGCCACGTGGCTACATCTCGGCAATCAGGCAAGTCCATCACCCGCGGTTCCGTCCATATCTTCTACGGCTCGCGCAATTCTTCTGTACCACGGGAGTGTATGCAGCGGCGGAGTTCCGTTTCCGGCTCATAGCCAGACACTCGTACTGGCCGAAGCATCGGCTTATCGAAGGCTTTCCGTACCAGGAGTCAGCCATGTGTCCACCATTGCCGTCTTCAGTGGAGGTATTTGCACGGTGGATCCACTGCGGCATACGACCATCCGAGTATCGCTGAGAGAGTGGGGTGAGCAGCTGGCTGCGGAGTGGAACCAGTCTGTGTATCTTTTGAACGGAGAACGGGCGAAATTCAACGGCCGTTCATCTGTTTAACGGCCCCTAGGACCCCCGTTAAATCCCGTTTAACGCAAAAACGGGGGCTTGGCATTGAATTCCGAAAAACGGAATTCTTGCTTTGGGCCTCGGACACGTGTGCCTACGTGCCCGAACACTCAAACCTGAAAAAAAAAAAAAAAAATTCACCCCCCTTTGACACCCCCCCCCAACACCCCTAAAGGACCGAAAAACTCCTATCTGACCCTGAACACACCACCCGGCCCCTCCCCCCAACCTGCACATTCCCACCACGACCCCCAACCCCCACTGCACTTCACTGCCCTCAGTGCCCTCACACCCACCCCTGAACAACAGACACTACCCCTACACCCCCAATACCCCCAACCCCCACTACCCGGCGA